CCATTTTCTCAACTTAGTTTCCCAGTTCTCTGCAGACCCCCTGGCCACATGGCCAATTGGAGGAAGTGCCCGTCTGTGTTCCACATGCCCTTCTGTCCTCCTCCCTGTGGACACCCTCTCCACAGCTGTCTGGGAGAGTGCCGAGAACTCTGGGTGGAGAGTCAGAAAGACCTGGGCTTTGAACAGGTTCCACCCAGTTCAGTCATAGCCAACCAAGCAAAACCAGAACAGACCCAAATTTATCGAATGCGGGAGAACTGGAACAATCACCGGAAGTGCAGGGGGAAATGACAACATCAACACCCTGCTAGAAACTTTATCTCCCCCCTAGAAAACAATGAGTCGGCATGGACTTGACGGCATGTAGCTGAGGGTCTAGAAAACTAGCACACTGTGCGTGTTGCCTTGACCAAAGGAGACAGAAACCACGCTGGTATCCAGCCCACCCCACTTTGAATGCGTGTCGCTCTCTACCAACCAACCAAACCAAACTCCGTGCCATCCTGTCACTGCTGACAAAAGGAGAGGGTGGAGCTGCCCCTGTGGGTTTCTGAGACTCTCTTTCCGGGAGTAGACAACCCATGGGGTGGCTTTCTCCCATGGGGCGGCTGGTGGTTTCAAGCTGCTGACCTTGTGGCTGGCAGCCCAACATGTGACCAGTGCCAACAATCCATTCTCCTGCATCAGACTCCTGAGAGAGGGCTCGCTCTGCCTCTTCTCTATCTCCTATTCTGGGTATTCATTTACCCTGTGTATCACCCGGGTTTCACCCACACTTCAAAATGTGGGATCTGGTCTGATATTGCGTCATTAGTTATAACAGAACCAGATGGAACTGGGCCAAAGCCCTGAGGCAGACTGAACTCTAGGATCTATGCAAGGGGGCTTCAAAGAGCCCGTGGGGGAAAAGTTCCCTTCGTAAGTGTGATCTCATCGCCTCAACTCCATGGGCCTTGGTCTCCCGAGCAGAGCAGTTGGTCTCTAGAGCAGTAAAGGAGGCTGTTGAACAAGACAAGCTGTGAACTCTTTTAGTTGGACATTCTCAGAGGCCCGTAAGAGTTTTCAACCTGGGGCACAAATTCCATCTCAAAATCCCTTTGACAGAGGAGGGGATCTACTGACATCTTTGGTTGGGCAGAAGACGTTCACCTAAAATTTCCCTGGTGGAAGGGGGGAAGTATAATTGGGAGTCACACAGAATGTGACCTACCAACTTGCTTGACAATTGGGCAGTGATGATCAAAGTCAACTAAGAATGCAAAAGTTATGGCTTGCGATAACGAGAGAGAGGCTGGCCTTATAGCAAGCCAGCCCCCAATTTTGATTCCTTTTCCAGCCCTGTCACAAGCTATTTTAACCTCTTCAGCCCAGTGTCCTCATTTACAGCATCATCAACGTCACCAGCAGCCTCA